AAGACAGGAGGACTGCTGGAGCCCAGGAGTTCAACGCCAACCTGGGCAACACAGTGAGACCCTGTCTCTCAAAATACAAATAGGTAAAACAGTATGGTACTGGCATAAAACAGACACAGACCAATAGAACAGAATAGAAGGCCCAGAAATAAATTCATACATTTATGGTCAATTGATGTTTTGTTTATTTGTTTTGAGATAGGGTCTCCCTTTGTCACCCAGGCTGAAATGCAGTGATGCTATCATAGCCTACTGCAGCCTTGAGCTCTTGGGCTCAAAGGATCCTCCTGCCTCACCTTCCTGAATAGCTAAGGTTACAGGTGTGCCCCATCATGCCCAGCTAATTAAAATTTTTTATTTTTATTTTTTGTAGAGGCAGGGGCTTGCTATGTTGCCCAGGTTGGTTTCACACTCCTGACCTCAAGCAGTCCACACATCTCAGTCTCGCAATGTGCTTGGATTACAGGAATGAGCCAATATGCCCAGCCAATAGTCAACTGATTTTTGATAAAGGTGCCAAGAACACACAATTAGCAAAGAACACTCTCTTCACTCAATGGTTTTGGGACAACTGGATATCCATATGCAGGGGAATAAAACTAATATTTCATGCTACATTAAAAAATAAGCTATAAATGAATTAAAGACTTAAATATAAGGCCTAAAACTGTAAAACCACTAGAAGAAACCGTAGAAGAAAAGCTCCATGACATTCATCTGGGCAATGATTTTTTTTTTTTTGACACAAATCCAGAAGCACAGGCAACAAAAACAAACATTGACAAATGGGATTACATCAAACTAAAAATCTCTTGCATGGTTGAGGACACAATCAACAGAGTGAAGAGACAACCTATCTGCAAATCATACATCCAATAAGGGGTGAATATAATAATAATAAAAAAAAGACACTCAAAACAACTCAGCAATGAGAAAACAAAGAACCCAATTTAAAAATTGGCCAAGGATCTGAGTAGACATTTCTCCAAAGAAGACATAAAAATATCCAACAGGTACATGAAAAAGTACCTCAAATCAACGATCCTCAGAGAAATGCTAATTAAAATCACAGTGAGCTATCACTTCACACCTGTTAGAATGACTGTTATCAAAAAGACAAAAGATAACACGTGTTGGAGAGGATGTGGAGAAAAGGAGACCCTTGCACATTGTTGGTGGGAATGTAAATTAGTACAGCCTGTGTGAAAAACAGTATGGAGGTTACTAAAAAAATTAAAAATGGAAAAACTACTATAGGATTCATTAATCCCGTACTAAGTACATATCCAAAGTAAAGGAAATCAGTATGTCAAACAGATACCTGCACCCTGATGCTTATTGCAGCATTATTCACACTAGCCAAGATGAAATGAACCTAAGTGTTCATCAATAGATGAATGGATAAAGAAAATGCATATATACACAATGGAGTGTTATTCGGCCTTGAAAAAGGAAGAAATCCTGTCACTAGCAACAACATGAATAAATGTGGAAGACATTATATTAAGTGAAATAAGCCAGGAACAGAAACACAAATATACCACTTAATTTCACCTATATGTGGGATCTAAAAAAATTGAACTCATAGAAGTAGAGAATATGATGGTTACCAGGGACTTGGGGGAGGCTTTGGGGAAACAGACAAACTACCTATTTCTTTTTTTTTTTTTTTTTTTTTTTGAGACGAGTCTCGTCCTGTCACCCAGGCTGGAGTGCAGTGGCGTGATCTCAGCTCACTGCAAGCTCTACCTCCCGGGTTCACATCATTCTCCTGCCTCAGCCTCCTGAGTAGCTGGGACTACAGGCACCCGCCGCCATGCCTGGCTAATTTTTTTGTATTTTAGTACAGATGGGGTTTCACTGTGTTATCAAAGACGGTCTCGATCTCCTGACTTCGTGATCCACCCGCCTCGGCCTCCCAAAGTGCTGGGATTACAGGCATGAGCCACCACGCCCAGTCCAAACTACCTATTTCAAAAAAATTTTTTATAGCAGCCTGAGCAGACTAAGACAGACCCTTACCCAATATCATGTATAAAAATTAACTCAAAACAGATCAAAGACCTAAATGTAAGATCCAAAACTATAAAACTCTAAGAAGTAAACATAGGTGAAAAGCTGCACAACATTAGATTTGGCAATGATGTATTGGATAAGACACCAAAAGCATAGGCCACAAAAGAAAAAAAAAATAGACTGGGTGAGGTGGATCAGGCCTGTAATCTCAGTACTTTGGGAGGCAGAAGTGGGAGGATTGCTTGAGGCCGGGGTTCGAGGTTACAGTGAGCTACGACTGCGCCACTGCATTTCAGCCTGGGAAACAGAGTGAGACCCTATCTCTTAAAAAAAGATAGACTGGATATCATAAAATTTTTTAAATTTGTGCATCAAAAGACACTATTAAGAGAGTAAAAAGGCAACCCACAGAATGGGATAAAATATTTGCAAGTACTGTATCTAATAAGAGATTAATATCCAGAATATTGTCATTCACCACTTAATGATGGGGATACCTCCTGAGAAAAGCCTCATTTGGTGATTTTGCCATGGTGAGAACAACATAGAGTGTATTCTATGTGGTAAAATACACATAACATTAAATTTACCATCTTGACCATTTTTAAGTGTACAGTTCAGTGGTATTAAACACATTCATAATATTGTGCAACCATCACCACCATCTATCTCCATAATTTTTTTTATTTGTCCTTTTGTAACTGGCTTACTTACCATAATGTCCTCAAGAATCATCCATGTCATAGACTTTGTCAGAATTCCAGAACTACGTTACAGTACTTGCCTAGTAAGGGGGTTGCTGCTGCTGACCCCAGAACCAGCTACATCTGCTGAGGTTAGGCAACTCTTGCTGCCAAAACAAACCCCAGAATATACTGTCTTTGCTGCTACACATGCCAGCAAAAATGGACACTAGCGACACGAGTCACCCAACAGAGCCCTTTGTTGGTGTATATAATTAGTGGAAACTTAGTAGTGTGTAAAATTAGTCACATACCCCATTCCAGTAGCAAGGGAGGCTGGGATTTTTTTTTTCCCCCTTCAAATTCTAACTTGGAAAGGTAGGATTCATGATGTGGGGGATTATAAAAATGTGGAGGATATTCAAAAGATTTTGGACAGTTATAAATGACAGATATTCATTATGTAGTGCCTGTCTCTTCCTTCACATTCACTCTCTATATCCCTCTAAAGTCACCAAAATTCTGGCTAATTTGCCTCATAAATAGCTCAGGCATCTATTCACTTTCTCTATCCTCCCTGACCTGTCTTTAGTGTAAGTCACTCCATGGGGATGGGAAATAAGAAGTAGATAAGGGGAGGAGAAGAGAGATGCCTTGAAATTTGTGAGTTCTCTAGAAATACTGTCAAATTAAAATTTAATTGTAGGTAGTGCCAAGGCAGAAAGAAATCTAAATTTTCTCCAAAGTAACAATATATTGTTCTTTTTAACTGAATCAAAACTCCCTGGATCTCTCTCTCTCTCTTTTTTTTTTTCTTCAGACAAGGAAGGCTCTGTTGCCCAGGCTGGAGTGCAGTGGCACCATCACAGCTTGACCTCCCTGGCTCAAAATATCCTCCCACCTCAGTCTCCCAAGTAGCTGAGACTACAGGAACACACCACTACACCTGGCTAGTTTTCTTTTTCTTTTCTTTTTATGGAGACAGGACCACCATGCCTGGCTACTTTAACTTTTTTTTTTTTTTTTTTTTGGTAGAGACAACGTCTCGCTCTGTTGCTCAGGCTGGTCTCCAGCTCCTGGGTTCAAGTGATCCTACCATCTTGGCCTCTCAAAGTGCTAGGACTACAGGTGTGAGATCTTGATTTTTACTTATGAACATATCCAAGCACTCCGTATGTGTTGGGTGGTGTACACTCTTGGGACAGGGAAGTTAGAGTTTCAATTGTGGCCATGGCTTCTTTACTCTTTCTGTGATCTTGAGCAGTCCCACAACTCTTAGAACTTAATTCGTTATAGAAGTGTTAGAGAATTTCTGTGAGATAATCAGGCATAAATTTTTAAAGCACCAATATTGCTGAGATGTCCAAATGACTATGTAAATTATGACCCACCTACATGCTAAACTACTATGTGGCCATTAAAGAGAATGACGCTGCTCTAAATATACTAATATGGAACAGTTTCCAAGATATCCTAAGTGAAGAAAAGACAGTATAGAACAATGTATATAGTATGCTACCATTTTTGTAGGTGTTCATGCCTTCACATCTGTGTTACTTTTAAGGGATATAGGTATATTTAAGCTTGTAAATTCACAGACCATCTTTGTAAGTGTACACAAGGAACTGGCAATAGTGGTTGCCTTCAGAGAAGAGAACTTGAAGAGAACCTCCCTACTGGAGGCAGGGATGGTGGAAGGGGTGGGGGATGGAGACAGTGGAGATTGAGCTTTTGAATTTTGTTCCATGTGTATATATTATAAATTCAAAATAAAGATATAGTTTATTTTTTAAGAACCTGGAATTAAGTCCTATCTATGAAAACTGAAGAGATCGAAGTGAGAGGTAATTTAATTTGAAGCCCAGGTACAGCAGAAGTTTGGGGCTCCTCTGTTACTCATGCTTATCCACACCTTTATTTTTTCTTTTTCTAAAGCATCTGGGTCTTTAGCTCAAACTTATGCAGATCTATGGTTTACTGGGTATAATTTTTGTTATGGCATACATCAACATATTCCAAGTTTCTCTACTTGGATGGAATAGATGCATTAAATTCTGTGAAATGATTAAATTGTGAAAAGTAGAAGGAGTTTGAATAGGCATTATTTTTCAGGATCTTAGAAATAGTTATGCCTGATAGTTTTATAATGTCTGTAGTATGGTTTTGCAGTCCACAGAATGCACTCACATACATTATCAGCTGATCCTTCGCAAAGAAGCCTCATGTGATTCTTTCTATTCTCAGCTTTGTCCAGGAACTAAAATTAGAACTAGGCTGACATTACATTTCACTTGGTTACAGCTGACTGGGGATTTTAATCATTTGGAGCCACATTGAAAAAAATTTCCCCCTGCAATCTACTCTTAACTGATAGTCACTAATTTTGGTTATGTGAACTTCAGCATCTACCGATATTGGTAAGTATTTGACAATGGTGAGTATTTTTCAAAAATATTTTTCCTTTATTCTTCACATATAAATAGCTTGCTGCTGATACCTCTACTGTGTCTGTATTGGTCGGAATGTCCAAACGAACTGGAATAGAATTTAAAAGTTTTCTGCGGGGTGTTCATGGTCACTCGTATAACTGTGCTCCTCTGGAAGATAGATTTCCACAGAAGTAAGAAACAATTCTTCTGCGATTCTTTTGCTATGCTTACCTCACTTGCCACACTATGTGCTTTTTTCTGTTATGGTAATAATCAAAGTAGAGAGCACAATCCTGTGCTGGAGGAAGAAATACATCATTATTGACTTGTGTTTCCCTAGGGGAAATTGATCGTTATAGGAAAACTGATGGATTAGCAACATTTAATGGCAAATGAGGAATTGAATTCGCAAATGGATGAATCGTTTTGCATGTCTAGTAAAATACATGTATAAGTGTAGATACTTGGGATTTTAAAAATATTTTTATTATTTGAGTATTTAGCAAAAACTTCAAACTTTCTTAAATCAGAGACAATAAATTGTAAATTGATTGCGATATGCTCAGGAAGTTGGATTACCAGTATGTATCCCAAGGTTTCTTCACAGCAAAGAGATCTCGCATTCTGTTCCTGAGTAAATTCAGCATGCCTTGCTTAGAGATTTTCTCAACAATGTCCTGCATATGCCAATTATTTTTTAATCTTGAAATTTTAAACTTTTTTCTGTAATATAGTTCTTTGTCTGTCTCACACACATATATACTACATAATATTAGTTTAAAAAATCAATAATTTAGAAGAGGTTAATAATGAAAAGCAATATTATCTATCCAATTCCTCTCTATCACCAGCCCTCTCTAGAAGTAATCATTTTAACCATTTTGGAATTCAGTTTTCAGTGCTTATCTCCATATTTCTTTTTCAAAGACAATTGCATGCTATTTTTTAATCAACTTTAAACATTGTCTGTGGAGCTTCATTATAAGAGGTGGGGATTAAGTTCCCTTACACTGCCATAGGGTTATATCCCTATTTTTAGCTTCTCTCTTGATTACCTTAATAACTTTAAGCAAATACTTTAATCTTTATTTCTTGTTCCATAAGGTACGGACAGTATCTGTTGATTCCCCACTTTGAAGATGTGGATATCGGTGTTCCTATCATTTACTTCTTTTCCTCATTTCCTTCTTCCACATTCTGTTAAAAGTACTGTCACTTTTATGTTTTCAAGATATAAGGCATTAATATTCTGCTCTGTAACCCTCAATAAGTCTTCCTTACTTTTTTATAGATTAATTTATTTCAAAAGTTTAAGACCAATACATAGGCTTTACTATGTAATTTCTGTTTTCTGTAGAGCCAACATTTCCTTCTCAGTATCAATGTTATATTCATTGTACCAAAGAAGAATGTTAAAATAGATTCTCCTTTCCTCCACTTCAATAGTTGCTAAAAAATCATGCCACATTTTGTTGGCTTCATATATAGACTGTGGTTTTCTTGTACAGTGTCTTCCTCAACACAATTTCTGACTGCCTTTCTTTTTGCTTACTGGGAGAAGAAATTTCATCTTTTCACCATATCTCCAATGTCACACAGTTTTTCCCCCTTAATTCTAGCTATTTTTATAATTCAATGGATGACTACTGCCATTGCTTTTTTTTTTTTTTAATTAATTTATTATTATTATACTTTAAGTTCTAGGGTACATGTGCATAACGTGCAGGTTTGTTACATATGTATACTTGTGCCATGTTGGTGTGCTGCACCCATCAACTCGTCAGCATCCATCAACTCGTCATTTACATCAGGTATAACTCCCAATGCAATCCCTCCCCCCTCCCCCCTCCCCATGATAGGCCCCGGTGTGTGATGTTCCCCTTCCCGAGTCCAAGTGATCTCATTGTTCAGTTCCCACCTATGAGTGAGAACATGCGGTGTTTGGTTTTCTGTTCTTGTGATAGTTTGCTAAGAATGATGGTTTCCAGCTGCATCCATGTCCCTACAAAGGACACAAACTCATCCTTTTTTATGGCTGCATAGTATTCCATGGTGTATATGTGCCACATTTTCTTAAGACAATTTCATTCTTGTTGCCCGGTCTGGAGTGCAATGGTGTGATCTCAGCTCACTACAACCTCTGCCTCCCGGGTTCAAGTGATTCTCCTGCCTCAAGCCTCCCAAGTAGCTGGGATTACAGGCATGTGCCACCACACCCAGCTAATTTTATATTTTTTTAGTAGAGATGGGGTTTCACCATGTTGGTCAGGCTGGTCTCGAACTCCTGACCTCAAGCAGTCCACCCACCTCAGCCTCCCAAACTGCTGGGATTACAGGCACGAGCCACCATGCCCAGCTATTGCTTTTAAAACATTGTTTTACTTTATTTTTAATTTTTTAAACTATCTTGAAAAACATTGCTGGGAACAGCCTTATTCATGTTTCCTGGTGGAGACACCCTTCCTCTAGGTATATACCTTTGAATGGAATTGCTGGATCATAAGCTGTGCTTATCTTCAATATTAGTACATAAGTATTTCAAAATAGTTAATACTAATTTACAATTTCACCAATATACCAGGAATGCGTGAGGATTTCTGTAAGTCAAATTCTCGTCAACACTTGGTATAGTCAGCCTTTTGAATTTTAGCCACTCTGACAGATGTTCATTGGTATCTTATTGTGTTTTTATTAAGGTGGAGCACAACTTCATATGTTTTTGGTAAGCTGGATTTTTTTTTATCCACAGGGCAAGTTCTACCATTTGGATTTTATTGTTTGAAAATTTCCTGTTCAATTGTATTTTTTGTCACCTTTTTGAGTTGATTTTTAGGGGTTTGTTATATAATCTAGATGTAGTCCATTGGTGGTTACAAATATTGCCAATATCTTCCCCCACTAATGTACATGGTATTCCTTTTATTTTCTAAGTGATGTCTTTCAATAAGTTCTTAATTGTAATGTAGCCCACTTTATCAATCTGTGTTAGGCTGTTCTTGCATTGCTATAAAGAAATACCCGGCCAGGGCCAGGCACGGTGGCTCTCACCTGTAATCCCAGCACTTTGGAAGGCCGAGGCAGGCAGATCACGAGGTCAGGAGATCGAGACCATGGTGAATCCCGGTTTCTACTAAAAATACAAAAAATTAGCCAGGGGCAGTGGCAGGAGCCTATAGTCCCAGCTACGCAGGAGGCTGAGGCAGGAGAATGGTGTGAACCCAGAAGGCGGAGCTTGCAGTGAGCCGAGATCGCACCACTGCACTCCAGCCCAGGTGACAGAGCAAGACTTCGTCTCAAAAAAAAAAAAAAAGAAAAAAGAAATACCTAGCCAGGCACAGCAGCTCATGTCTGTGATCCTAGCACTAGCACTTCTGGAGGCCAATGCAGGTGGTTCACTTGAGCCCAGGAGTTCAAGACCAGCCCGGAGAATGTGGAGAGATCCTGTCACTACAAAAAATTAAAAAAAAAAAAAAGCTGGCACACTGTTTCTCTCCTGTAGTCCCAACTATTCTGAAGGCTGAGGCAGAGGGGCCCCAGGAAATCAAGGCTACCATAAGCCATGATTGTGCCACAACACTCCAGCCTTGGTAGCAGAGTAAGGGCCTGTCTCAAGAAAAAAAAAAAAAACCCCACAAAACAAACAAAAAAATACCTGAAACTGGGTAAATTATAAAGAAAAGAGGTTTAATTGGCTCATGGTCCTGCAGGCTTTACAGGAAGCATGGTGCTGGCATCTGGTTGGCTTCTAGTGAAGCCTCAGGGAGCTTTCAATCCTGGTGGAAGGCGAAGGGAGAAGCCTGCATCCCACAAGACCAGAGCAGGAGCAAAAGAGGGAGCCGGTGGAGGTGCCACACACTTAAAGAACCAGATCTTGCAAGAACTCACTGTTTCAAGGACAGCACCATGCCATGAGGGATCCTCCTCCATGATCCAATCACCTCCTACCTAGCCCCACCTCCAATGCTGGGGATTACAGTTCAACATGAGATTTGGTGGAAACATATATTCAAACTATATAACAATCTTTTCCTTTATGGATATGCTTTGTATTCTGTTTTAAAAAGTGTTCTCTACTTTAAGGACATCAAGATAAGTCCTATATTGTTACCTAAATGTTTTATTTTTCTACTTTCACTTTTAGATCTATAATTCACATGGAATTAATTTTTGGTAATATACAGATATTCAACAGTCCCAATATAATTTATCTTAAAAAATTGTTTCCATGGCCAGGTGTGGTGGCTTACACCTGTAATCCCAGCACTTTGGGAGGCCAAGGAAGGCAGATTACTTGAGCCCAGGAGTTCAAGACCAGCCTGGGCAACATGGTAATACCTCATCTCTACAAAAAATACATAAATTAGCCGGGTGTCATGGTGTGCACCTGTAGTCCCAGCTACGTGGGAGGCTGAGGTGGGAGAATGGCTTGATCCCAGGAGGTGGAGGTTGCAGTGAGCCAAGATCATGCCACTGCTCTCCAGCTTGGGCAACAGAACCAGACCCTGTCTGAAAAAAAAAATTTCTACAATTGTTGCAGGAAGTCAGGGACCCCAAATGGAGTGACCAGCTAGAATCGTGGCAGCGGAACATAAATTGTGAAGCTTTCCTGGACATTTATCACTTCCCTAATAATACTCTTATAATTTCTTATGCCTGTCTTTACTTCAATCTCTGAACATAAATTGTGAAGCTTTCCTGGACATTTATCAGTTCCCAAATAATACTCTTATAATTTCTTACGCCTGTCTTACTTTAATCTCTTAATCCTGTTATCTTCATAAGCTGAGAATGTACGTCACCTCAGGACCACTGTTGTACAACTTGATTGTAAAATGTGTGTTTGAACAATATGAAATCAGTGCACCTTGAAAAGGGACAGAATAACAGCGATTTCTCAGGGAACGAGGGAAGATAACCATATGGTCTGACTGCCTGCAGGACGGGAAGAATAGAGCCATATTTTTCTTCTTGCAGAGAGCCTATAAATGGACGTGCAAGTAGTAGAGATATCACTAAATTCTGTTCCTAGTAAGGAATATAATATTAAGACCCTAAAAAAGAATGCATTCCTGTGGGGAGGTCTATAAACGGCCACTCTGGGAGTGTCTGTCTTATGCAGTTGAGATAAGGAATGAAATACACCCTCGTCTCCCGCAGTACCCTCAGGCTCATTAGGGTGGGGAAAAACCCCACCCTGGTGAATTTGAGGTCAGACCAGTTATCTGCTCTCGAACCCTGTTTTCTGTTGTTTAAGATGTTTATCAAGACAATACATGCACAGCTGAATATAGACCCTTATCAGGAGTTTTTGATTTCGCCCTTTGCCTTGGGATCTTTGCTTTGCCCTTTGCCTTGTGATCTTTATTGGCCTCAGAAGCGTGTGATCTTTGTGACCTACTCACTGTTCATACATCCCCTCCCCTTTTGAAGTCCTTAATAAAAACCTGCTGGTTTTGCAGCTCAGGTGGGTATCACAGACCTACCGATATGTGATGTCACCCCCGGCAGCCCAGCTGTAAAATTCCTCTCTTTGTACTCTTTCTCTTTATTTCTCAGACCGGCCGACACTTAGGGAAAATAGAAAAAACCTACATTGAAATATTGGGGGCAGGTTCTTCCAATACACAATGTTCTGCAGTGCCTATATGTATATGAGTCTGTTTCTGGGGTTCCTTATTCAGGTACACTGATGTTTGTCTGTTGCACCAATAACATTATCTAGTACTATAGCTTTAAAAGAGATTTTGATGAATGTAGAATAAATCCTCCCACTCCAGTTTTCTTTGGCAAGCCTGTCTGGGCTATTTTGTATCTTAAGAACTGTCATTAAAAATTAGAAACTGATTGTCAAATTGCTCCTCTCCTTCTCCAAATGAAATTTGTATTGAGACTGATTATAGTTCAATGTGGGGAAAATTGACATTTTTACAGATTGAGTCTTTCAATCAATGAATATGATGTATATCTCTTCATTTATTTAGGTCTTCTTTAATTTCACTCCGATTTTTAGTTTTCTGTATAGAGGTTTTACACATCCTGTTTATTAAGAATTTGATTTTTATGCTATTGAAAATAGTATATTTTTGGCCAGGTGCAGTGGCTCATGCCTGTAATCTCAGCATTTTGGGAGGCTAAAGAGGGTGGATCACGAGGTCAGGAGATTGAGACCAGCCTGGCTAACATGGTGAAATCCCGTCTCTACTAAAAAAATACAAAAAAATTAGCCAGGCATGGTGGCGGGCACCTGTAGTCCCAGCTACTCAGGAGGCTGAGGTAGGAGAATGGCATGAAACCAGGAGGCAGAGCTTGCAGTAAGCTGAGATTGTTCCACTGCGCTCCAGCCTGGGTGACAGAGCGAGACTCCATCTCAAAAAAAAAAAAAAAACAGTATATTTTAAGAATTTAATATCAATTTTCTGCTGGAATATAGGACACATACTTGATTTTTCAAAATATTGACTTGCCAGAAATCTTGCTAAATTCTATATATTTAGTTGTAGATTCTCTTGGATTTTCTAGTTCATAATTGTACTCATGAAAAATGTCCTTTTGTTTTTTATTCCTTTTCAAACTTTAAGCCTTTTATTTCTTTTTCTTGCTTTTATGCAAAGGGTAGAGCCATCATACAGTATTGAATGGAAGTAGTGACAGCAGACATCTTTTTCTAATTTTACATGAAGGGCTTTCAATGTTACACTATCAAGTATGATTGCTGCAGATTTTTGTTAGATATACTTGGTTAGGTTAAAGAAATTATCTTCTACTTATAGTATGTTAAGACTTGTTTTTAATCACATGATATTAAATTTTAATAATTTTCTACATCTATTGGAATGATCATTTTTTTTTCTCTTCTAGTCTATTACTTCAGAATATTACATTAATTGATTTCTCAAACAAAGGTAAGCAAACAAACCTTAATCTCTGGAATAAACCCAACATGGCTATAATGTGTCTTCTTTTTTTGTTTGTTTGTTTTGAGACAGAGTCTGGCTCTGTTGCCCCGGTGGGAGTGCAGTGCTGCCATCTCAGCTCACTGCAACCTCTGCCTCTTGGGTTCAAGCGATTCTCCCACTTCAGCCTCCCAAGTAGTTGGGATTACAGGTGCATGCCACCACACCTGGCTAATTTTTGTATTTTTTCTTTTCTTTTTTTTTTTTGGAGACAGATTCTCACTGCATCACCCAGGCTGGAGTGCAGTGGCATGATCTTGGCTGGCTGCAACCTCCTAATTTTTTTGTATTTTAGTAGAGACGGGATTTCACTGTGTTGCCTATGCTGGTCTCGAACTCCTGAGTTCATGCAATCTGCCTGCCTTGGCCTCTCAAAGTGCTAGGATTATAGGCATGAGCCACTACGCCTGGCCTTTGTTGTATTTTTTTTTTAGTAGAGACAGGGTTTCACCATGTTGTCCAGGCTGGTCTTGAATGCCTGACCTCAAGTGATCTGCCCACCTTGGCCTCCCAAAGTGCTGGAATTACATGCGTGAGCCACTGCGCCTGGCCAGTATTTTCTTTTTCCTACATTGCCAGATATGGTTTGCCAGTATATGGTTTAGGACTTTTCTCCATAATATATTTGCTAGTGAGATTAGCCTGTATTTTTCTTTCTAGAATTACCATTCTTAGGGTTTGGTATCAAGGGTATGCTAATCTCATAATCTGAATTGGGGAGTATTTCTTTTCTGTTCTCAGGAAGAGTTCATGCTATGATTAGTGTTATTTTTACCCCTCAAATGCTTGGTAGAATTTGCCATTGAAGGCATCTCTAGGACCAGCATTTTGTTTGTGGAGAGATTTTAGATTATTATTATTATATTCTATTGTGTCATTTTAAAATTTTATACATGTATGTGCTTATCTATAATATACCCTTTCTTCTGTTTTCTTTGTGTTTGTTTTGCATTATCTAGCTTCTTGAGATGGATGTAAATTTTTTAGCCTAATTTCTTCTAAAATGTATACTTAAGGCTAGAAATTTCCCTCTACTACATTACCTGTATTGCATACATTTTGATTTGTGGTATTTTTGTTAATTCAGTTCAAAATGCCTTCTAATTTCATGATGATAGCTTCTTTGACTATAGGTTATTTAGAAGTGTGTTTCGTGTATGGATGCAGTAGCTCACGCCTGTAATCCCAGCACTTTGGGAGGCTGAGGTGGGAGGATCATTTGAGCCTAGGAGTTTGAGACCAGCCCGGGCAACATAGCAAGACCCCTGTCTTTACAAAAAAATAAAATTAAAAAAAAAAAAACAGCTGGGGCATGGTTGCACACATCTGTAATCCCAGCTACTTGGAAGGCTGACGCAGGAGGACTACTTAAGTCCTGGAGTTTGAAGCTGCAGTGAGCTGAGATTGCACCTCTGCACTCCAGCCTATGCAACAGAACAAGACCATGTCTCAAAAAAAAAAAAAGGAAAGAAACTTTAAAAAGCATGTTTCTTTAGCTGAAAGAATATAGGCTTTTTTTTTTCCAGGTATCTTTTCATTATTGATTTCTAGCAAGTTTATATTTTGATTAGAAAATAAACTTTATGCTACTTTAATCCCTTGAAATTGACTGAGACTTGCTGTATGACTCCAATATGAGATTTTTTTTCTGTGACTCTTTCATGTGTTTTTTAAAGCATAATGTATTCTGTCATTGTAGGATATAGTTCTTTATTTATCATTTAAGTAAGTTTATTCATTGTGTGGTTCAAATCTTCAGTATTCTTCCTAAGTTTTAGACTGCTTGTGCAATCAGTTGCTGAAAGAATGGTTAAAATCTCCCACTTCAATTCTGGATTCCTTGATTTTTCCCTTTAGTTCTGTCAATTTTCCTTTGTATTTGGAAGCCATGTTATTAGAGGCATATAATTTAAAGTTTTTTTATATTTCTTGTGGATTGAATCTTTTATTATGCTATGATTGATCTTTTATATCTATAAAGTATTTGTGCCTAAAGTCCATTTTGTCTGCTATTAATATATTGATATAGCCTTCTTCTGCTTAGTGTTTGCATAGTATATCTGAAAAAATGTAATTGATTAGCCAGACCTGGTGGCACATGCCTATGCTTCTAGCTACCTGAGAGGCTGAGGCAGGAGGATCACTTAAGCCCAGGGATCAAGGCTGCAGTGAGTCATATCCCGCCAATGTATTCAAGCCTAGGTGATAGAGTGAGACGCTGTCTCAAAAGAGCAAAGAATGAAAGAAGAAAAGGACGGAGGGAGGGAAGGAGGAAGGAAGAAAGGAAAGAAATGAAGATATAAAAAAAGAAAAAGTTAATTGAAATATGATTCATATATAAATTCTCTCTTTCAGTGTACAGCTTGGTAGTTTTATTGAAGAGTTGTACAATCATCACCACTAATTCTAGAATATTTTCATCACCCAAAAAACTGTACAGTTAGCAGTCACTCCCTATTTCCCCCTCTACAAATCTCCTGGGTACCATAAAGCTACTTTTTGAATCTATAGATTTGCCTATTCCGGACATTTCATATAAATGAGATCATATATGTGGTCTTTTGTGCCTCACTTCTTTCACTTAGCATAATTTTATTAAAAGTTTATTTATGCTGTGGCATATATCTATACTTCATTCATTTTTATGGCTAAATAACATTCCATTGTATGGATATACCACATCTTGTTTATCCATTCATCAGTAGATGGCCATTTGTGTTGTTACCACTTTTTACCTATTATGAATACTGTTTCTATCAACATTCATATAAAGGATTTTGTGAGAACATATGTTTTCATTTCTTGTGGGTATACACCTAGGAGTGGATCTTTTCCTGTTCTTGTACTGTCCACTTTTCTCTATCTCTATTTTTTTAGGTGTGCCTCTCATAAACAATACTCAGGATTTTGTCTTTTCTTTAACTGGACAACCTTTGTATATTAACTTGGAAGACTTAATCATCAGGGAAGTACAGATTATGACCACCCTGGGATATTGCTTTATGCAGCAGTGGATGTATATCAACGGGGACCTTTATACAGTGGTAGTAAGAGTATAAATGGGCACAATCAATTTGGAAAACAATTTGGCTCTGTCTTATAAATTGGAACATTTACATACACTATGATCCAGCAATTCTAATTCTAGATATGTACCCAATAGAAATAATTCTACTTGAACACCAAGAAGATAAAAACAATAATTTTAGAAAAAGTATTGCTTATAATAGCAAAGCTCTGGGACCCAAATATTCACATTCATTAGAATGGATAAACTGTGGGATAGCTATATATTTTGGAGATCATGGCATATGAATATATAAGATACTTTTCCTTTTTTTGAGCTATATAATTTCCCATGATACGGGTAGACTATAGTTTACTGATGAAATGTTAGATTGTTTCCAATATTTTGCTGTTATGAAAAACACTGCGAATAACTTCAGATAAATTGCTAGAAGCGTGGATGAGCATTTGTGAGTTTGATAAATATTACCAAGTTTCTCTCCATGCAGAATATAGTAATATCACCACTGATGCAGATAAGTGTCTGTTTCCCTATGTTGTTGCAAATTTTATTGCTTTCTTTTCCAACTACATTACTTTCTATTTACTTTACTTCCATTATGGTTTTCCTATAACATTGAATAGAAGTGATTGTGGACGTCTTTGTATTCCTGAATTTGAAAGGAAAGAATTCAAATAATTGTGAATCAAATTCTTTGATTATTGCTAATTTGGTAAAAAATCAATATGATTATTTTAAGGCCATAGGATATTCCATTAAAATGTACCTACCATAATTTACATAACCATTCTCCTATTATTGAGTATTTTCCTCTCATTTCTGAGATTCAGGTCAAAATCCTTAATACTGCATCTGTCCATTTGCAATTTATTTTACACAAAAGGAAACAATCCCTATATGTTATCATTTAACTGAATTTCCACTTGTGCACATGGTGTCCTGATTAGATTGATGTCTCAAGATCCCAGTCTTTTTAAAAATCTCCATTATTTAGCCATTTTCCCTATATTTGGACATGAAGACTTGTCGCAGTTTTTCATTATTGTGAACTATATAGTAACAAAGGAATCATATATTAGATATGAGACCCGAAGAAAATTGTTCATCTTCTTTAAAGCTTAATTTTCTCATCTATATATTAGTCAATACAAGTACCTATATTACAGTATTTTGTGAGAATTTTTAAGTATGATATGGCATATAAAGTATATAAAATAGTTTTTGGAGCATGGAATGTGCTCTATAAATATTAGCTATTATGATCATTATGGTACTCAATGAACAGTCTGAAACATTGCTTTTTTCTCTGATACAATTAGGTCCTTTCTGAAATGGTATCTGTGATTCAGCTATTCAAAACCTAATGAAGTTGGTGACTCTATGACAATGTGGAGAAATCATGACAGAAAATGTGGTTTGTACTGGGGCTGTCAATGCTGTAAAGGAAGTTTGGGAAAAAAGAATAAAGAAACACAATGAAGACCTGAAGCGAGAGAAGGAATTTCAACACAAGTATGCTAAAACATATTTATTATTTTGAATTAGTGAAATTAACATTTATCATCACCATTAAAAAGAGCATTCTAAATGCCTATTATTGAATTTGATATAGAATTTCATTTACTGAAAACTCAAAATATACTTAAAAAAAACAGCTGACTCAATTAAATTTGTCTATGTGCTAGGAGTCACAAAAAATACAAATATGAAAATAGTAGCTATCTTATACCCTCATAGTACTCTGTTTAACATTCATCAAAGTTTGACTAGTATCATACAGTGTAATTTTCAGGATTGTATGTTCAGCATTAACATGCCCTAGGATCTAAAACAACATTTGGCAGTAGAAGGTACAGGAGATTCTCATTTATTTGAATAGTCATGTGTTCTAGCCAGAGCTGCTCGATCACTTGATTCCTTGATCTGGGCTATATTTATTTGACTCTCATTTCCTCTGCCTTCATTTTATCTTACCTACTTTCCTGATTGGATGTCTCCCAAAAGTATTATACTAATCCTGCAAAAATAGTCCCTTTCCTTATAGATTCATATAGTTCCGTACAATTCTCATTCATTGTCTCTTTCTATTATTATCATTATTATTTTTGAAATGGAGTCTCACTCTGTTGCCCAGGCTGGAGTGCAATGGAATGATCTCAGCTCACTGCAACCTCCACGTCCCAGATTCAAGTGATTCTCTCTGCCTCAGCCTCCCAAGTAGCTGGGATTACAGGTACATGCCACCACACCCGGCTAATTTTTGTATTCTTAGTTGAGATGGGGTTTCGCCATGTTGGCCAGGCTGGTCTTGAACTCCTGACCTCAGGTGATCCACCCACCTCAGCCTCCCAAAGTGCTGGGATTACAGGCATTGGGCCACCATGCCCAGCCATGAGGCAAATGTTATTTGCCAATGTCAGTTAGCAAATAACAGAAAATTCAACTAAAGATGGCTTAAGTGATAGGGAAGTGAGGCTGTTCTGAAGATAGTCAATGCAAAGCCTCAACATCTTTTAAAAGTCAACTTTTGTTTTTCACCTTCCACTGTTAATTCCTGTGTCAGTTTGATCCTCAGATTAGCTTCCTTCAATGTTACAGGATGACTGGTGCACTTCCAGGCATCACAGCCAATCATCATTATGTTTTCAGAAAAGTGGAAACTATTTTTTTCTATTTCTTCTTTAAGAGTAAGGAAATCTTTCACAGAGGGTTCCCAACAAACCTCTCCTTCACCTCTCATTGGCCAGAATTGGATCAGTTGTACACATCTAACCCAGTTACCTTCTAGGGGAATGAGACTGATTGGTTTAGACAAATTAAGATTCATCCCTAGTGAACAGTCTGAAACATTGTGTATTAGTCCATTTTCATGCTGCTGATAAAGACATACCTGAAACTGGGTAATTTATAAAGGAAAGAGGCTTAACTGACTCACAGTTCCACAAGGCTGGGGAGGCCTCACAATCATGGTGGAAGATGAAGGAAGAGCAAAGGGACATCTTACATGGCAGCTGGCAAAGAGAGAATGAGAACCAAGTGAAAGCGTAAACCTCTTATAAGACCATTGTCTTGGCAATTAACATTAGGCTCCTCATTACTTATGTGAATTTCTGCAGCCAGCTTGAATTTCTCCTCAGAAAATGGCTTTTTCTTTTTCTATCACATCCTCAGGCTGCAAATTTTCTGAACTTTTATGCTCTGTTTCCCTTTTAAAATGGAATGCTTTTAACAGCACCCAAGTCACCTCTTGAATGCTTTGCTGTTTAGAAATGTCTTCCACCAGATAGTGGAACTTCTTTAAGTTCAAAGTTCCACAGATCTCTAGGGCAGGGGCAAAATGCTGCCATTCTCTTTGCTAAAACATAGCAAGAGTCACCTTTATTCCAGTTCCCAACAAGTTCCTCATCTCCATCTGCGATCACCTCAGCCTGGATTTCATTGTCCAAATCATTATCAGCATTTTGGTCAAAGCCATTGAACAAGTCTCTAGGAAGTTCCAAACTTTCCCACATTTTCCTTTCTTCTTCTGAGCCATCCAGCTGCCTGTTACCCAGTTCCAAAGTCATTTCCACAGTTTTGGGTATCTTTACAGCAGTGCCCCACTCTACCGGTACCAATTTACTATTTTAGTCCATTTTCACACTGCTGATAAAGACATACCTGAGACTGGGTAATTTATAAAGTAAAGAGGTTTAATTGACTCATAGTTCCACATGGCTGGGGAGGCCTCACAATCGTGGAAGACATAGGAAGAGCAAAGGGACATCTTACATGGCAGTCGGCAAAGAGAGAATGAGAACCAAAAGAAAGGGGAATCCTCAGCCAGGCATGGTGGCTCATACCTGTAATCCCAGCACTTTGTGGGGCTGACGTGGGTGGATCACCTGAGGTCAGGAGTTTTAGACCAGTCTGACCAACATGGTGAAACCCCGTCTCTACTAAATACAAAAAAATTAGCCATGAGTGGTGGTGTGTGCCTGTAATTCCAGCTACTTGGGAGCCTGAGGCAGGAGAATTGATTGAACCCGGGAGGCAGAGGTTGCAGTGAGCCAAGACTGCACCATTGCACTCCAGGCTGGGCAACAAGAGTGAAAGTCCATCAAAAGAGAGAAAGAGAGAAAGAGAGAGAGAGAGAGAGAAGAAAGAAAGAAAGAAAGAAAGAAAGAAAGAAAGAAAGAAAGAAAGAAAGAAAGAAAGAAAGAAAGAAAGAAAGAAAGAAAGGAAGGAAGGAAGGAAGGAAGGAAGGAAGGAAGGAAGGAAGGAAGGAAGGAAGGAAAGGAAGGAAGGAAGGAAGGAAGGAAAGGAAGGGAGAGAAACCTCTTATAAAACCATCAGATCTTGGGAAACTTAGTCATTACCATGAGAACAGTATAAGGGAAAATCCCCCCATGATTCAATTATCTCCCACTGGGACCCTCCCACAACACGTGGGAATTATGGAAGCCACAATTCAAGATGAGATTTGGGTGGGGACACAGCCAAACCATATCACCTGGATTACTTTGTAAACACCTGGACTTGGAATCAATTGGTATTCTTCCAGTAAACAAGGGTGGGGGACAAGAAGCTACTGATAAGCAATGATTTGTGTTGCTAAATATCTGTAAAAACAAAAGATCTGGACAGGGAGGAATAATTTTTCCCACTTAGTTTTTAGTAAGTGTGCAGACATAGCAAGATTCGTGTTCAAGGTGGATTCTACAAGGATAGAGAGGGAAGCCCAAGGTCAAGCCTGGTCAAGAAGAGGATGAGGAGCCTGACTAAAGTTTTGATAAAAGGGATCTTTGTAATTAATTAAGAATCACTTAATTTCAGAAATTTCAGAAGTTCTCTATATAAGAATAATGAGTGTGCAGTCTTGCCCACCCTTACTGCCTTACTGCTTGTTCTTTTTTTGGCATCATCTATTTTATGATTAGGGAGGAGGATTCTCTCTTAGCAAAATGTAATCTCTGAAAGTTAAGTTAGACGAAAATCAGCTTCTACTTTTAGAAACATTGCATGGAATTTGTGTAATGTTTTTCAAAGCACCTTTCCCTTAATCTTAAAGCAATTTCATTGTAAAATCATTGTACAGTATTATAAAGCTTGGATTATGGTTAAAATTAAGTATAAACTACTTCAAAAGTAAATTATATAGAGATCAAAGGTTAGGTTTAAAACCTGTAATATGATTTAATAAATAATTTGCCAGATATGGTGGCTTGTGCCTGTAATCCGAGCACTTTGGCAGGCTGAGGTAGGAGGATCTCTTAAGCCCGAGGAGTTTGAGACCAGACTGGGCAACATAGCAAGACCTTATCTCTAAAACAAAAAGTTAGCTGGGCATGGTGGCATGCACCTGTAGTCCCCATTACTTGGGAGGCAGAGGGGTGAGGCGGGAGGATCAACTGAGCCCTGGAGATCAAGGCTGCAGTAAGTCACAGTCACACACACTGCACTCCAGCCTGGGCGTGAGACACTGTCTCATTAAAAAAAAAAAAAAAAAATTAATAAATAAACAACCATAACTGATGCAAAATGGTAAGAATCTGAGAGACCTTTTAAAGTGAGACAGAGAGCTGATTACCAGAGAAAAGGCTAATTGGAAAATTCATAGAAAATTTAAACTGACCAAAGGTAACCCAAAGAAATGTCCCTTCTTTTTTACTCTGCTCTGAAATAGAGCAGTGTTTCTCAAACGTGTCTATGTAGGAATCCCATAGGGATCTTATTAAAATAGCTTCTGGGTTAGTAAGTCTGGAGTAGGACCAAGAGTCTGGATTTCTAACAAGCTCCCAGGAGACAATAATGCTGCTGTTCTGCAAATCACACTGAGTAGCAAGGAAGTAGACAAAAGAAGCAGAAGATTTGAAAGTGGTCAGTACACAGGCAAGGGGTTAGAAGGGTAAGAATGTAATCTAATGCTGCTTCTTTCAGCTAAAAGTGGCTAAAGCTTTAGCTAAACAATGAAAGAAAAAAAAAGCCTACAGTTTAAACAGAAATTGTCCTTTCTCCCTTTTGATGCCAAGCTCCTTGAAAAAATCAAGTACTTAGGTAACAGTTGGTGTGACAATATTGGAAAAAGGCCTTATTCTACAATAATAGGGTTTTATTTTATTTTATTTTAGAGACAGAGTCTCAATCTGTCACCTAGGCTGGCGTGTAGTGGCACAATCTTGGCTTACTGCAACCTCTGCCTCCTGGGTTCAAGTGATTCTCCTGCCTCAGCCTCCTGAGTAGCTGGGATTACAAGCACACACCACCACACCCATCTAATTTGTGTATTTTTAGTGGAGATGCAGTTTTACCACGTTGGCCAGGCTGGTCTCGAACTCCTAACCTCAAGTGATCCACCTGCTTTGGCCTCACAAAGTGTTGGGATTACAAGCGTGAGCCACCACGTGCTGCCTCAAAAGGGTTTTAGAAGAGTTATAAAATTTCGATTAGAGACATGAAAGAATATCAAGATTAAAATAAGCAGTTTCACAACTGTAATCCCAGTGCTTTGGGAGGCTGAGGCGGGAGGATTGCTTGAGCAGGAGGATTGTTCGAGACCAGACTGGGCAACATAGTGATGGCCTGTCTCTTTTTTTTTTTTTTTTTTTTTTAAAAAAACTGCATAGGAATTATAGAATATTTGAGCTAGAAAATACACAGATATCATTTAATTATAACCTCACATTTTATAGGTAAGGCCCACAGATGGGGGATGTCTTGACCAAGGTAACCAAATTAATAAATGGTACATTCTGGACTTAGATCATAAAAATACAGAACCAGAAAGAATTTAGGGATCATTACAGAGATGGAAATAGATTTTTTTTTTTTTTTTTTTTTTTTTTTTTTTTTGAGACGAGTCTTGCTCTGTAGCCCGGCTGGAGTGCAGTGCCGATCTCAGCTCACTGCAAGCTCGCTCCGGTTACGCCATTCTCCTGCTCAGCTCCGGAGTAGCTGGACTACAGGCGCCCGCCACTCGCCGGCTAGTTTTTGTATTTTAGCAGAGACGGGGTTCACGGTGTTAGCCAGGATGGTCTCGATCTCCTGACTCGTGATCCGCCCGCTCGCCTCCCAAGTGCTGGATACAGCTGAGCCACCGCGCCCGGCCGGAAATAGATTTTCTAATAATAGCCTGACTGTCAACTCAGTAAGGACAGAGCTTTTTGTATCTCCAATGTCTAGTACTTGGCTATAATGATTACTTGATTAATTCCTTAAGTTAAAGGTCAAGGAATCAGATTCCTAATTTACTTGTTACTAAATCTTGCTCTGATTTCACTTCTTTCTTAGTAATAACTAATTAATAACCATTAAGCCCATTGTTTGATTAGTTCTATTTTTATATAAGTGATATAATTGAATAGCTGACATTATACATTTTTTTTTTAGTTATCCATATCTATGGGAAGCTTAGTTGTTTAGATCAGAAGCCCACACATATCCCACTGCCACAGGGCACCTGTTAGCAGATTAGTTAAATTTTAGGCAAGTGATAGATTAAAATACACAGCTACTAAGAGAAGTATTTTACAAGCCCAAAGTATTTTACAAATACGTAAAGACAGCAAATTCAACATTTTGTTTACTTTTGGCTTTCTGTTCATCAAAATAAAATCCTTACTGAAGATCAGTCAATATGCAAAACTGCTAAAAATATGTATTAACTCTCAGGTGTCCATAGATTTCTGGCAAACAAATATTCAAATTAGTTAAACTTCATGTTTTGAGGACTGCTTATATTTATTATGTATCCTTTTAACAGGCTAAAATTTCAAAATGTTCGATTCTAACCTTACTCTCTTTTTCATGCGTGAATAATTTTCTGGGATAGAAATAGCTTTTTGCAAAAGGTTTTCATTTCTTTTCTTTTTTTTTTTTTTTTGAGACAGAGTCTCACTCTGTCCCCCAGGCTGGAGTGCAGTGGCACAATCTTGGCTCACTGCAACATTCGCATCCCAGGTTCAAGCAATTCTCCTGCCTCATCCTCCCTAGTAGCAGGGACTCCGGGCATGCATCACCACACCCGGCTAATTTTTGTATTCTTAGTAGAGATGGGGTTTCACTATGTTGGCCAGACTGGTTTCGAACTCCTGACCTCAGGTGATCCACCCGCCTTAGCATCCCAAAGTGCTGGGATTACAGGCATGAGCCACCGTGCCTGGCCGGTTTTCCAGTTTCTAGTTTGCATTTTTCTAGTTTGAGATCATTCTTATGTTTGCAGTAGATCAAAAATCAATAGGAATGTGCTTCAGAATGACAAATATTTTATACATTTTTATATGTAAAAAATAAAGACTAGATAAAATTAACATGTAGTAAGATGAAATTGAATTCTGAAGTTGAACTGTATTCTTTGTAAGCCATTACAAAACCTATTAAATATCTATTGATTACTCACCAGGAAAATGCAAATAACCCCCAATCAGATACCATTCACACCCACTAGATGACTATAATAAAAAAGAGGGACAATAGCAAATATTGGTGAGGATGTGAAGAAATCAGAACCTTAATATGCCACTGGTGGGAATGTAAAATGGTGCAGCCATTTTGGAAACAGCTTGGCAGTTTCTGATAATGTTAAACATAGCCAGGTGCTGTCATTCATGCCTGTAATCCCAGTACTTTGGGAGGCCAAGGCAGGCGGATTGCTTGAGTTTAGGAGTTTGAGACCAGGCTGGGCAACATGGCAAAACCCTGCCTCCACAAATAATACAAAAATTAGCTGGGCATGGTGGAGCATGCCTGTAGTCCCAGCTTCTCAGGAGGCTGAAGTGGGAGGATCACTTGTGCCTGGGAGGTTGATGCTACAGTGGGCCATGATGGTGCCACTGCACTCATGCCTGGATGACAGAGCGAGATTTTGTCTCAAAAAAAGAAAAATGTTAAACATAAAGTTACCATATGACTCAGCAATTCTACTCCTAGGAATGTACCCAAGAAAACTGAAAACATGGTCACACAAAAATTTGCACATCAATATTCATAGCAGCATTATTCCAAATAGCCAGTAGTGGAATTAACCCAATGTCCATCAGTTGATGAATTGGTAAACAAAATGTGTTAGATCCATACAGTGGAATCATTCTGCCATAAAAAAGAATGAAGTACTAATACATGCTACAGCATGAATGAACTTTGAACAAAACGATGCTAAGTGAAAGAAGCAGACACAAAAGATACATATTGTATGGTCCCATTTAAATAAAGTGTCCAGAATAGGAAAATCCATATACAAAAAGTAGATTAGTGATTACCAAGAGGTATGAGAGGGAAGAATGGAGAGTGACTGCTAATGGGTATGGAGTTTCCTTTTTGAGTGATACAATGCTTTGGTATGAGATAGTGATGATAGTTGCACAAACTGTGAATATACCAAAATTTACTGAATTGTGTACTGAAAAAAGTAATTTTTATGGTATGTGTATCAGATCTCAAAAAAGTTATTATTAATAAAATTTATAGAGTTATGATACTTAAAAAAATTAAAAATAGGGCATTTGTGGTACTAATCATATTTATAATTCTTGCAAAATAAGATCTTGTCTGATTTCCAGGTACCAATAGTCAAATGGTTGTTTTTGATTGGTCATTTAAAATATATATATATATAAAAGTGGCTAGATGCAGTGGCCCACGCCTGGAATCCCAACACTTTGGCAGGCCGAAGCTGGTGGATCACGAGGTCAGGAGTTTGAGACCAGCCTGGCCAACATGGTGAAAACCCATCTCTACTAAAAATAAAAAAAATTAGCCGGGTGTGGTGGCGGGTGCCTGTAATCCTGGGGAGGCTGAGGCAGGAGAATCACTTGAAACTGGAAGGTGGAGGTTGCAGTGAGCCGAGATCAATCAGGCCACTGTACTCCAGCCTGGGCAAAAGAGTGAAACTCCATCTCAAAAAATATATATATATATATATAAAGTGAATGTCACCTATGTAATTGTCTATGAACTAAAATGATTTCCTGGTCCCCTAGGCTAGTGCGGATCTGGGAAGAACGAGTAAGCTTAACCAAGCTAAGAGAAAAGGTCACCAGGGAAGATGGAAGAGTCATTTTGAAGATAGAAAAAGAGGAATGGAAGGTAAGCTTTTACAGAATATTTGATTTTCCATATTTTGCATTTTGTGAGTCAGTTGAGAGAATGATTCTGAGACTGTAATTGAGACTAGAATAGTTAGAAACTAATTTTAATAATACACCAAATGAATTTGAGCAACTTGAGCAACTGAAAAGAAACACAACTTCACAATTATTTTGCAAAAGTTCAGTTTGCTTCAACCCTGCCTAAACTTAAATCATTTGTAATATTTCTCCTATTAATCTGTTTTATAGCAACTTCTCATTTCCCATAAAAAAGATAACCATCTGCCTAATAAAAATAATATTGCTTTTCCAAAGAAATGCTCAGTTAAAACTTTACGGAATGGAAATATTAGTATTTTCATTGGGTCTACCACCTCACTCATATTCTTTCTCCCCCTTACACACAAACTCACAGTTTAATTATACTAGGCATACTCTAATTTTTACAAGAGCTTCTAACCCTTGGGTCCATGTTTATTTTTATGTTTTATGTCACTGTTTGTCAGAGTTAGCTCCTTTATATTCTCTACTGGTTATTTTAGGCTGAAAGGGAAAAGGTACAGGGTTCAGAATAGTTGAAACTCTTAAAATTCTCAAATTAAAAAATAAATCTTTTAAAATATTCATATATTTCAAAACAGAAGTGGAAAAACAGTTTGAATTATTGATTGAAATGATTTTTTTGGATACTCTCATTTTCAATAACATATATGTACTTAAGGAAAGCCTAATACTGTATAACAGAATCATCAGGACATACTGCTATGTGTCTACATTATTGATCAAAATATTTCTGTTTATTCTATCATGATTGGGGTTTGAAGGTTTAGCCAAAAAAAAAAAAAGGTAAAGATCTTAAAACTTAGAAGTCACACAAAGCACCTGGAAAAGTAACCCATTAAGGGAAACAAATTCCAAATATTCCAAAGTGCTTATATAAGTCAAATATCACATTTCAGGGTGGTGTGATACTAAAACAATTTAAGTAATATACAACAACTATCATTTCTTTTACTGTAGACCCTCCCTTCTTCTCTGCTGAAACTGAATCAACTACAGGAATGGCAACTTCATAGAACTGGTTTGCTGAAAATACCTGAATTCATTGGAAGATTCCAGAACCTCATTGTGTTAGATTTATCTCGAAATACAATTTCAGAGATACCTCCAGGGATTGGTAAGAAAGATTATTTTTATTCCTGTGCTATTTTATCCACCTGCAGATGTACTTTTTATTAAGATTTTTTTGGATACATGGAATAAAGACCTCTTTATACAGCCCTCAACCTTGAGAAATTTTAAACATTTAGTCTAAATTGAAGCTTCTAGAGGATTCAAGTTTTTGGATTTACTGAGGTGATTCAAGATGAGATTTCAATGAGAGAAAAGCCTCTTTGGAAATATCCTGTAGATTCTCCATACAGTATTGTCAGCTCAGCTATTTCTCTTAGGAATAGCTTCAATAGCCTTCAACAGGTTGAAGGCAGTAAAGAAAACAAGATTCTTCAAATGGGAAAAAAAAAATCTGAATAGAAAATTTCTCAGGATTTTGTGTAGATGAAACAAAATGAAAATACTTGGGATTTTTTTTTTTTTTTTCCTATTGCATGGATAAATTTGTCCCTTGTTTGAAGAAGGGACAGGACACAGACTGGGAAAAGGGAAGAAACTAAGAACTCCAAATTTGCCAATACAAAACTGGCAAGTAAGTTATGCTGTAACACCTTAATAACTATAAACATTATTTTATATCCAACTCCTCTCTATTGTATATTATTTTTTTATAGGACTGCTTACTAGACTTCAGGAACTGATTCTTAGCTACAACAAAATCAAGACTGTCCCCAAGGAACTAAGTAATTGTGCCAGCTTGGAGAAACTAGAACTGGCTGTTAACAGAGATATATGTGATCTTCCACAAGAGGTTAGAAAGATATAAATGCTTATGACTGTATTTTCCATCTGCAGTAGTTGACCTCTCAATGTGTGGTTGTTAACAATAATAAAACTAATGAGAAAATTCTATGTATTTCAGAAAAAATATTTAGGGAAAACCATTTCCATAAGTATAATGCAGGTTTTTAATTGGAGAAAGATTTAGTGTAAAAGATACTTCTATTATTATCACAGTACTGACATCATTTGTTAAACTGTGATCTCCTTGAACACCAGGATGAGAGTTGTATTATAGTCTCAGAATTGAGGGCAGAGCCTAGCTTGTAGTGATTACTTAAATGCTTTTTTAATTAATAAATGGTTATCATAAAGCACAGACAATGTGGTGATAGCAATAAGACTGGAATGCCTTCAAACTTTGATTTGGTATGATGTCTTGTTATTGTTCAAACCAAATTGATCATATAAAAATAAAGACATTTGTATTACTTTTTGAAAATATTTAATGCTCTTAGGATCAGTGAAGAAGTTTCCATGGGGCTTTGGTTTTGAAAACAATGACTCTACAAGATAAAAGTTAAGAAAAATAATAAAATAAAATAGACTATTCCCTTCTCCCACTTTATCTTAATTAGTATATCAGACTTCTCTTCCAAAACAGCAAACTTGTCACCAACAATTGTTGCTCTTGCAAATGAAACATAGTATATACATATACATTATATCTTCTAATAGTTCAATTTCATGAAATGTATACCCTTGTGTATTAATCTGTTCTCATACTGCTGATAAAGACATACTCAAGACTGGGTAATTAATAAAGAAAAAGAGGTTTAATGGACTCAGTTTCACGTGGCTGGGGAGACCTCACAATCATGGCAGAAGGCGAAAGGCACGTCTTACATGGTGGCAAGAGAGAATGAGAACCAAGTGCAAAGGGAAACCCCTTATAAAACTATCAGATCTCATGAGGCTTATTCACTCCTACAAGAACAGTATGGGGGAAACCACCCCCATTATTCCATTGCCTCCCACCAGGTCCCTCCCACAACACATGGGAATTATGGGAGCTACAATTCAAGATGAGATTTGGGTGGGGACACAGCCAAACAATACCATTTTGCATATAATAAAAATGATAATATGGATAATTTCTTACACATACAAGAGGGTCAATAAATACTTTATTTCTGACTCATGTGTTTTGTTTCTGGGTTGGCCCCATCATTATAAAAGCTATGTGATTTTGTACAATCTATTAACCAGTCTTTTTTTTGAGACAGGGTCTCACTCTTTTACCCAGGTTGGAGTACAGTGGTGTGATTCTGGCTCACTGCAGCCTCAACCTCCTGGGCCCAAGCAATTCTCCCACTTCAGTCTCCTAAGTAGCTGGGACCAAAGGCTTGTGCCACAATCCCTGGCTAATTTTTAAATTATTTTGTAGAGACAGGGTCTCACTATGTTGCCCAGGTTCGTTTCAAACTCCTGGACTGAAGTGATCCTCCTAACTACCAATTTGCCTACCAAAATGCTAGGATTATAGGCATTAGCTACCTCTTTCCTCCACCACTATTATTTGGAAGTTAAATTTTGAGTTTTCCCATACAATTCTCAACTACTGGATCAAAGGAAAACATGATAATGGGTGCTTACTCTCAGCGAAAAAAAGGTTTTGCCAGGCACATTCTATAAACCCTGGAACCTGGTGATTATGAAAGATAAACTTTCTTTGAATAGGTGAACTTTCTATGAGAGTTTTACACTTCCCTGGAGGTTATTTAGCTTTATATTTATTTTTAATTTGTTGTGGACTACTATGACTAAATAAAGCCCAAGTAAAATGTGAACATTCCTGGATGTGAAATATTGCCTTTACTGACGTGAGTCTTTTAGTAGTTTACATTGTGGGCATTTATTTTGAAAAATTTTGCTTTCTTCTTCAGCTCAGCAATCTGCTAAAACTTACTCACCTTGATCTGAGTATGAACCATTTTACTACAATCCCTCTTGCTGTGTTGAACATGCCTGCCCTTGAGTGGCTAGACATGGGAAGCAACAAACTTGAACAACTTCCTGATACTATAGAAAGGTAAAAGAAATAACTCTTTATGCTAATGATAAATGTCTTGAAACCTCTTATGAAAAAAACTAAGCAAGACAAATGGGATCTCGAGCATAATCAATCACAATAGGTCCAACTAGTTTGAAATACACTGTTTTAACAGAATATTTTCATTTGTTCCAAGTAAGTAAAAGGGTTTGGGAAGAAGAAAAAACTGGCTTTTTTCAAGTGATCCACCTGCCTCTGCCTTCCAAAGTTCTGGGATTACATGCATGAGCCACCACGCCTGGCCAAAACTGGCTGACTTTGAGAAATTAACAAGAATATGCCACAATAACCACCTTGCTTAGTATATGCCAAGCACTTCTATGCACTTTACAAGCGGATGAAGAAACTAATGACAGAGATGTTAGCTAACTTGCTCAAGTTAGTAAGTGGGCAAGCTAGGATTTGAACCTAGGCAGCCTGTACCCAGAGTCCATGATGTTAAGCATTATGCATACTGCTTTGCTATAAATGGGCATATTAATCATTTGATTGTTCTCTTAAGACTCTAACTCAGATTAGGTAACATTTACAGCAGTTCTTCTTCAAGAAATCCTATGAGAATAGTGAAAGAATTCTAGAATATGTCTATTTGATTTCATTTCTATTGCCATACGATGTAAGAGTTGTACTGTAGAGATGAACTTCCTGATGCGGTTTCTCTAATAACCAGGTAATGTGATGTCAGTTAACTCAGTAAGTATACTGGTTAAATATGTTGTAAAAGACATTTGATTTTAACATAAGAACCAAAGGCTGGGTGCAGTGGCTCACGCCTGTAATCCCGGCACTTTAGGAGGCTGAGGGTGGGAGGGTAGCCTGAGCTCAGGAGTTCAAGGCCATCCTGGGCAACATGATGAGACCCCTGCCTCTTAAAATTATTTTTTAAAACTCCAAAACCAATGTTTTCATATTATACGTAATTAATTGCAGAAACCTTAATTTTTCAGAATGCAAAATCTACATACATTATGGCTGCAACGAAATGAAATAACATGCTTGCCTGAAACAATCCGCAATATGAAAAATCTGGGTACTCTTGTTCTCAGCAACAATAAACTGCAAGATATTCCAGTATGCATGGAAGAAATGGCAAATCTGAGGTAAAAAGTTGTAGGCACAAAACTGAAAAACCTTGCTTTCTGGCTGCAGAAAAAAGTAATGTAGAGAGATTGTTATTAATAAATTTCAGTTGTTATTTACATGAATGGATATTTAAAAAATCTTTTCCAATGTTGAAATTCTACAATTTGATGAATAGGATTCATATAATACTGGTCTATTCAAGAAAGAATCCTTAAAACTAAAGCAGTTTGGGATTTATCAGCTTTAAGAAATGTCCTCCATTTTAGATGTTTATCAAAGGTCTTTTATGGGAAAGAAAGTAAATGTATGAAATAATAAATGTGTGACATGGTAATGTTGGCTCTGAACAAACTTTAGAAAACTTGGTTGACAAAATTTTGAATCAACTGAAAAAAGCATGACTTGAAATCTCTGAATGCCTTAGTTCTCAGTATTATCATTCTTTATTGAATTTCTTATTAAAATATGTAGTTTTAAGACTTCTTTTTGACAGTATTATATAATTTTTTAGCATGGGTAGATGGGAGTGTCACTTGTATGTTATCGTACAGCTGACATGTATTTTTGTCATCTTAGTTTCATGCTATGTACGTACCATAACCAACCTATTGCCTATGAGAAACATGTAAGATAAAATATTTACAGCCATTGTTACAAGTTTAGAGTGTATTTTTCTATCTTGTTTTACAAGTATGTTATATAACATTCAAAAATAATTTTTTTCTTGATTGAGAAAAGGATACAAAATGCAAAATCCACAATTTTGATAACTGAAAATTGCCAATTGTTTTGCAGTACTTTATTATATTGGGTGTCGTCTTTTTTGGGCTTTTAGCTAGCTAATGAATGAATACATTAGACATTTTTGGGTTTTAGTTGGGATTTTACATAGCTTGCCTTTTAGTTCTTTGGTTCTTTGCTGTTTCTATTAACCCACAGCATTATTTTAATACATGTTATAATACCAACCTAAAAAAAAATAAAGGTCCTCTGTTGGTGACAAATTCATGAAAATTATACAGCTAAAAAAACCTCATTCGCAACATAAAAATCAAAAGCGTAAAAGTGTTTATTTCCTAAATAAGTACAAATGGACACAATTATGTTACTGATAGAAAGCAGATATATTAGTCGGGAGTGGTGGTGCATGCCTATAACAGCTACTCGGGAGGCTGAGGCTGGAGGATCGCTTGAGCCCAGGAGTTTGAGGTTGCAGTGAGCCAAGATTGCGACACTGCACTCCAGCTTGGGAAACAGAGACTATTTCTTAAAAACAAAAAACAAAAACAAACAAATAACCACGAGATATAACTTTTTACTAAGTAGTATCAAAACTCTGTCAAGTATTTTTTCTCTTTAAAAATTATTTTAGATTATTTTAGGTTGCTTATATTTCTTCTTTTGAGAAATATCTTTTCATATCCTTTGCCCGCTTGTGGGGTTATTTTTTTTCTTGTTGAGTTGTTTGAGTTCTTTGTAGATTCTGGATATTAGTTCTTTGTCAGATGTATAATTTACATATATTTTTCCCATTCTGTAGGTTGTCTATTAACTCTGTTGATTATTTCTTTTGCTGTGCTGAAGTTTTTCTAATTAAATCTCATTTGTCTATTTTTGGTTTTGTTGTGTTTGCTTTTGAGGTCTTCATCATAAATTCTTTGCCTAGGCCAATGTCCAGAAGAGTTTTTCCTAGGATTTCTTCTAGGATTTTTTACTGTTTCAGATGTGACATTTTAAGTTTTAACCCATCTTGAAAGCTCCCTCAAGCATTTTTCTTCCAAAGCTTAATCTTCTGACAATTGAGAATAAGAGAATACCCACTAAAACCCAAAACTTCCATAACCAAATAATTCATTTATTCACTTGTTCAGCAACTACCTGCCTTGTACTGGGTGGTGAAGACACAATGATAAGTAAGATGAAGGTATATAAAATATGCAGAAACTAAGTTCATAGCACTAATTTTATATTTAAGATATGTTAACATTGCTCTTAGAAGTTAAGCTGTATTGCATGAAATATATGCTGTAGGCTGGGTGCAGTGGCTCACGCCTGTAATCCCAGCACTTTAGGAGGCTAAGACAGGCAGATCACTTGAGGCCAGGAGTTCAAGACCAGCCTGCCCAATATGGGTGAAACCCTCTCTCTACTAAAAATACAAAAATTGTCCGGGTGTCATGCGTGTGAGCCTCTAGTACCAGCTACTTGGGAGGCTGAGACACTAGAATCACTTGAACCCAGGAGGTGGAGGGTGCCATGAGTCCAGATGATGCCACTACACTCCAGCCTGTGCAACTAGACTAACTAGTTGCTTTTATAAGCTTTGAAAGTAAGTTGTCTAAAGCTAGTGTTTTTTTCTCTTAGGAAAAAAAAAAAAAAACATAGATTCTTGAGATATATCACATCTCACCAAGGTGTTCAATTATTGAAACCAGTTAAAAAAGTAATTTAGTATATTATCATTTGACCTTTCTCCAGGGAAATAAATGTACACTTCCATGACACCTATAAAAATACTGGTTTTTGATGAACTGCTAGGTTTGTCAACTTCAGAGACAACCCACTGAAATTGGAAGTATCACTTCCTCCCAGTGAAGGCACAGATGAAGAAGAGGAACGGGAATTATTCGGCCTTCAGTTTATGCACACGTACATACAAGAGTCACAGAGAAGAGCAGGTATAAGATTTGTATATAACACAGATTCAATGTTCTTTTTTGGTAATGTGTATATCACTAACTGCTGCCTTTTGATTAATTCCTTTATATATTTCTTATTCCATCTTAAGTTTTCTGTCAAATTCTGTTCTCTTAGTCAATATTGTGGGAAGAAAAAAAGTGAAATGGAGAGAGGGGTTGTAAAGATATTCAAAGTCTTTCAAGTGGGGGAAGGAAATAAATCCTTTGGCTAAGCATATGAAGTAAAACCAAGTGAGTGAAGATGTGATTCTTAAAGCTTTGCTACCTCATTCTACCAGCTTGCCACACATAGCAGTTTGACCATGAACTGATCTTCCCTGTCATTCCACAAATATTAAGATAACACAGTGTTTTGTTTTGTTTTGTTTTTTAAAGAGATGAGGTCTTACTATTTTGCCCATTTTGCCCAGGCTGGAGTGCAGTGGCTATTCAAAGGCACAATCATAGCTCACTGTTGGCCTTGAACTCCTGGGCTGAAGAGATCATCCCACCTCAGCCTCTGGAGTAACTGGGGCTATCAGTGCATGCCACCATGTCTGGCTGAGAATACAGATTTTAATCAACGAAGTGTGAGGTTTTGATATAGAGATTTCAATCACTTAGTCTCTCATAATTTTGAATTACACCACTTTTTTTAATCAAGGAAGGGCTTTAAGCTAAACCAAGATCAGGGGAAGAGGACAAAGTACACAATTATTTGTTAATAAAAACAATGAAACAATAGTAATAGAAATCATGGTCTTCTAATTGTAAAATGTTAGGAGTTTTTAACTTAAAAGGCAGATTTTAGTTCAACTTAATGCAACAACTAGTTAGTTTGAAAAATGAGTATAACCGAGAAGACAATGACAGAGTTTTTCAGCTAGAGGAAATAATTTTTACTAACATTCAGTGGAGGATGTTTAGAAAATGGTGATTAGATTTATTGTAGCAAGGTCATAGATGCAATAACATGGAGACAGATTGGGGAGACAGGCAAAAAAGTCCTAATTGTGACCTAGTTTTGGAAAGCAGAGAGAGAATACATAAAAGACGATTAGGAGACAGAATTGGTAATTGAATGAAGATGAGAAAAGGGAGTTTATAATGAATGTTTTTGGTTTAGAGAGCGACTGGATAGACGGTGATGCTAAGATGGAGACTGAAGTACAGAAGATGGGTTGGCAAGTAGAATCAGGTGGTAGAGGCAGAAGATGATTTCTAATTTTGGCAGTCATTTTTATTTTGAGGAGTTTCTCTCTGGCTGCCCAAGCTGGAGTGCAATGGCACAATCTCGGCTCACTTGGCAACCTCCGCCTCCCAGGTTCAAGCAATTCTCCTGCCTCAGCCTCCTGAGTAGCTGAGATTACAGGTATGCGCCACCATGCCCAGCTAATTTTGTATTTTCAGTAGAGACAGGGTTTCACCATATTGGTCAGGCTGGTCTCGAACTCCTGACCTCAGGTGATTCACCTGCCTTGGCCTCCCAAAGTGCTGGGATTACAGGCGTAACCCACCGCACCTGGCCCTTAGCAGTAAATTTGATGCACTTGTGGAACATGCAAGTTGTGGTAATTGTATAGGTGAATCTAAAGTTCAAGAAGAGGTTTGTTGAATCTGAAAATTGTGCAGGACAAGAAATAGCTGTATGCATATCCCACATAGTCACTTTCTCATGATATGTGAAGACAAATTAACAGTTAGGAAAACAATAATCCTGACCTAAGGCTGGCATGTTGAAGGACAAACTTATCTTCTGTTAAGGTACTTGATGCCATTGTCAGAAACATACCATTAAGCTAAATGGGCCACAGAACTGTTTCCGTATGATAATTCTTGGATGTGTATGAATATTTTATGAAACATAAATGCGATTATGCCTGTTGTAGAATATTGTTTATTTCTGGGCATAAATTGTTGAATGATGCAAAACAAATTTTATGACACAAATTAGTATTGCTTGACACAATAAAAAAAAGGTTAATTATTTAATGATATAATATCTTCATTTAGGTTCCCTTGATTGGGGACATGGGTAACTAACTTAAAAAACAAACTACCTTACTTTAATAGCATTTGACATAAAACTTATAACAAGGAAAAAAAAGTTAACGACTTAAAGAGATAATACAATCAAAGCCTATTATGTTATTAAAAATAGATTCACGAGTTACTACCACTACTATTTCCAGTTAACATTTATTGAATTACTCTGTGCTTGGAACTGTTCTATGCATTTTACTTGTGTTATCTCATTTGATACTCACAACAACCTTGTGAGGTAGGTATTATTGTTATCATCATCATCCCCATTTTAAGAGGAGAAAATTGAGGCACAAAGAGATTAAGTGGCATGCCCAAGGTCGCACAACTCAAAGATGGTAGGGTTGGAATTTGAACCGAGGCAGTCTGACAAGATATATGAGACAAAAGTCAGGAATTTTAAATTGGTTAGGCTTCTTATTTACAAATCATGTAATCATAGAACTACAGGATAAAAATAGTTACCTCAGAATATCATAATATCTAAAATTAGTAATTCTGAACTTTTGTCTTGGCAAATGTACCATAAATTAAGACAATTTTTACAAATAAAGGCAGAAACAAAATAGGGATAAGATGCAGAAGAGAGTAACAGTCCTACCATATGTTTGGTTTAATATTTTCTTGTGCATAGAAACCAGTCATGTGTTAAATAAGGCCTAAATTTGAGGTTTTTAGTTTCATTATCTAATTTCTACTTTATTCCAAATTATTTTCCCAAACAGAAGAGAACATACTTATTATTTGTGCCTATATATGTAAAAAATGACCTGATAAAAGATATGAATAGCTAATCAACTCCAGAAGTTATTTCAAATTTGTAAATTATGTTTGTAAGTATCTTTTTGGAAGTTCTAACTAGATAATTATCCAACAAAATAATTAAGTGAAATAATCTTTTTTCTTTGAAAATAGCTCTTAAGTTTTGTGTTTGTCATGGACAGATTCTGACAATATATACATGTATGGTTCTGGAAATTTGAAGGTGACTTCATTAATTGTGTTTATTAATTGTGAACATCTCCGAATTGTTTGCATTTGAGAAAATCATAATTGTGCTTTTCAGGTCTGTAGGGAAAAATGTCCACATACAAGTCAAATTCTCAGATTGGCCCTTGTTACAATCAATCACTACCTCTTGAACTTGAGAAATAAAAAATATTAAATAAAATCAAAGGAAGATAAATTTCCAAAATTAATACAAACAGAAATATGCTAATTATGTGTTGACATGTATGTTTCAGATCACCAAGTCAACGGTTCAACTACTTTACCAATCTCCATAAATACGGATGGATAATATAATTCAAGATGCCCTTCTAAAGAGGATTACTTTGGTGAATTCTCTAATGTTTGGATTTCTGAAGTAAAAAGAAAAGCTATTACCAAAGTTTAATGAGGCCACAGCATTTTTTAAAGTTCATATTATTTGCTATTTAAAGTATATATTTTTTAATATAAAAATATAATTAAAAATTTTTTTTGGTGGAAGACAGATGATGCTCAAATTTCTTTTCCATTAAGCAGTTGTTTCTGGTGATGAAGAATGATTTGGTAAAGCAGTTAACAAAACATTTTCCAAAGACACCAGAGGGTCTGTATAGTACTGCAAAGCAGGACTGAATCCCTTCTGCTGCAAATACTGGATTCGACCTTGGTCAATCAGCAATTTACAAAGATGCCCTATTTTCTTCTTTTCTTCAACACTAAGAAGCCTAAATTGAATAAACACATACAAAACATTGTTAAAATTTTGTAAAAGTTTATAAAAAATTATTTTTGTCACTTCCATTTATTGAGAGAATGTTAACTAACCCGTAATGTACTAAGTACTTTATCCCATGCTTCCAAGACACATTATATTTATGACCACAATAAGAGATGTGTATATTTTAGCTTATTCTAAAATTAGATTATACATTTTCATGAATTGTTGATAATAGTCATCTAAAGTACAGTATAATACAATATTTCTCCTTTAGTGTCATACATTACAAAAGTAGTCTCTTACCCAGGCAAACTATTAGCGCCATCATCTGTGATTCTGTATCCTCCATCATCATGCTCTTCACTATCATCATTCTGATTATCTTGTCTCTTTGTGGTACTATTTGAGGTTTCCAAAGATGTTTTCCGCATCCCACAAGTTGCCCAACTACTCATTCGCTGGAAATAGTGGAATTCCACTGCTCCAAGGCCTAGAGCCCTGAAATATTCTTTGCCCACATAATGTCTCCAATCACACCTGTGGTGACAACAGAGTGCAATAACAATGCCAGCCACAGGGTTCCACTTCTCTGGGACATTTTTTGCATTTCCTTCCTTGGCCAAAGTGTAAATTTCTTTTTCTGTTTTATCATTCTTTATGCGTTTGGCTAAAGGTTCTTCATTCCTTTCCTCAAAACTGGCAGCATAGGTTTCAATCAAACATCGTAATGCAAGATCTGCAAACACAATTATGTGGCCCCCCGAAACCACATCATCTTTAAAAATAAATATTTTTTACATTTATTAAGCAGTACTGTTTTTAAAAACCCAACAATAGAAACAGCAAAAACCTACTCAGCTTTATATTTGTAATAATTATATGGTGAATTATCAACTTTGTTCAAATTTGCTCTTCTTACTATCTTCTCAGTTTCTTTAATTATTTATTCTGCGTAAAGCCTAATTTCCAATAAAGCTATCTGAAGCTTAAGATCTACAATTTGAAGAACTTTTACCCAGCTCCCTGAATTGTCTCTCACTTTTCCTACCTTAGCTGAGGAAATGACTTGTACAGGAAAACTTTATTCACTTACACTTACATTCTAGTTTAAGAAAGGAAAAAAAGAAGGAAGGAAGGAAGGGAGGGAGGGAGCGAGGGAGGGAAGAATGGAAGAGGGAGGGAGGGAGGAGGAAGGAAGGGCAGACAAATCTGTTTAAGTTGATGTTAAGTCAAGATGCTTGTCTTGAAGAGGCTCATAGCAAATAGTGATGAACTGAAGAGTTGAAAGAGGAGTCAGAACAGAATCTGGAAAGGAGGCCTCACTGAGTAGCCTAACTGTATTTATTCATTTATTTAACAAACATTTACTGAATGCCTTTCATGTGCGAAGCATTGAGGATGCAATGATTAATATACACAAACTTAAGAGGGAGATGTACTCCACATTACAATGAAAACATTTTAGTATATTTTAAAACTAAATAAATGGATTTTTGATGACTATGGCTATTTCCCATCAAAAACTCCTACATTGTTGACAATATTGGAAAGACCCCAAATGTAGGACCCACATCTTCTGTCTTAATCATTAGATTGTCATGTTGTGTCTGTTCAATCAAAAATATATACATATTTTAAAATTGTATTACCCTAAGATAAAACAAGTGACTATTAAATGATCTGATATTTCACTAGTAAATTGAATTCAATATATGAATTTAAGTCAAACATTAGAAACCCATTCTTTGGAGAAAGTGATAGCTAATCTATTATTTCATAAACTATTATTTTCTGACAAAATACATTTAGTCATTGTTTTATTCATATCTGACTTAAGTAAGTGATTTTCAGAAATGTGAATAACCAGATAAATTATTAAAAGAATTAAGTGGTTTCAGGCCAGCCGCAGTGACTCACGCCTGTAATTCCAGCACTTTGGGAGGCCAAGGCGGGCAGATCACGAGGTCAGGAGATGGAGACCTTCCTGGCTAACATGGTGAAATCCCGTCTTTGCTAAAAATACAAAAATTAGCCAGGCGTGGTGGCACGAGCCTGTAGTCCCAGCAGTTTGGGAGGCTGAGGCAGGAGAATTGCTTGAACCTGGGAGGTGGAGGTTGCAGTGAGGCGAGATTGTGCCACTGCACTCCAGCCTGGGTGACAGAGTGAGACTTCATCTCAAAGAAAAAAAAAAAGAATTAAGTTATTTCAGAATTAGAAGGAGCTTTAGCAATTTATCTCAATTCATCTGTCATAGAGAGCTTAAAGGACAAAGCCACATACACAGAAAGGGACAAGGAAACACAGCAAATTGGTAGCCAAGATTATTCATTCATTCCAATATTCACTGTGTTCCTGTTATATAGAAAGCATTGTACTAGTATGCCATATACTCAAAAAATTCAGAGCATGGTGGAAGAATTAGATATATAAACAGATAATTAAAATACAACGAGGTAAAATTATGCAGAGGGTATTATGATAACACCCAGGAGGCATATCTTATTTAAGGGAGCTCCCTGAAAGTGGTGACAACGGAGGTGAAGGATGAGTAAAAACTGACCAGTTGTTTTGTTTGGGTGAATGGGTGAATGGGGGTGAAATTCCAGATATAGTAGAAATAGTACAGTATATGGAAGAGCACCCAGGGTTTGATGTTGCTGAACAGCAAAGTAGGAGACAGGGAATGCAAAAAAGAGAGGAAGGCTGAAGCCAGATTGAGACGAAAACGTTATGTCAAAGAGTTCGGACTATATCAGTAAGTACTGAAGAGTTTAAAGAGAAAGACACATTAGTTGTGTAGCAGATGGGTCTGAGATTGATTGACCAATTGAGATAGGGTCTTGCTCTGTCACCCAGGCAGCAGTGCAGTGGCGCTATCCCAGTTCACTGCAGACTCAGACTCCTAGGCTCAAGTGATTCTCCCACCTCAGCCTCCTGAATAGCTGGGACTACATGCACAAGCTATCATGCCCAGCAAATTTCTAAATTTTCTGTAGAGATGGGATCTTGCTATGTTGCCCAAGCTAATCTTGAACTCCTAGCCTCAAGCAATCATCTCACTTCAGACTCCAGTGTTGGTTTTCCAGGCATAAGTCACTGTGCCTAGCCTGAATATTAAATATTTAAAGGACAGAAGTGGAAGGAGACTGTGAAATAAACAGAAAGAATGGCATAGATGTAGGGGAAGAACCAGGAAATAAGAGTATCGCAAAAGAGAAGAAAATGGAATTTCAAGAAGGGCAGCAACTGTGGCAGAGATGAAAGGAGGATTCAGATACAGTGAATCAAGGGTAAAAAAATTACATGGAACATGAGAAATGGCCACTGTAGGTCAAAAGAGTGTACTCCCTCCTACCCCCAGGATGGAACTGGTTTACTTTAGAAGACTTTTATAAGGCTTAAATGAGATAAGGTATGTGAAAGTACAGTCATGCACTGCTTAACCATTGGTATATGTTTTGAGAAATGCGTTAGGCGATTTCATCATTGTGGGAACATCAGAGTGTACTACACAGACCTAGATGGTATAGTGTAGCCTACTACACACCTAGGGTGTATGGCACAGCCTATTGCTCCTAGGCTACAAACCTGTACAGCATGTTACTGAACACCGTAGGCGATTGTAACACAATGGTAAGTATTTGTGTATCTAAATACAGAAAAGGTACAGTAAAAATATGGTATAATTTTATAGGACCACTGTCATATATGAGTCCACTGCTGACCAAATCATCGTTATGTTATACATTACTGTAGTCTTAAAAACTATGAAGGCCAACACAAATATATAGTACTCAATGCCATTTCCAGCCAATATGAGTATTATCTATGGACACTCCAAGTTACCCATATGGGTAGATGATGAAACTAGCAAAAGTTAGGAAGATGATGTAACAATAATTAACATTTATGGAGCACTATTATGTGCCAGACACTTTACATGCAACCCGGTGAATTATTAATATATTAGTATCTCTGTTTTATAGATGAGGTAACCAAAGCTCAGAAAGGTTAAGTAATTTGACAAGGTTACACAACAGAGCTGAAGGCTAGACTATCTGATTCTAAAGCACATGCTGTCTACACTTTACCATGCTAGATCTGATGGATCAAAGTGCTAAGACAAGACATCTTAGATTTTTTTTTTTTGGTCTAACATTTATTTTTTTCTTTTTCCCCAGAATCCTGAAACACAATAGTCTTTTAATGGGAGAGGTTTCTGAGTTCTTCCTAAGGAACTATTCTACAAAAAATCAGTAGCTTCTGGGTGGAAAAATACAGTTTCCATAAATGGTCTTATTTTCCTTTTCTGGTTGAAATTTAACCCAAAGAACTTTAAAGTCTAATGTGATGCAGTATTTACATACAAAACTCTTAATTCATCCTGCAAAATGGCCAAAATGAGCAGATAAATAGGAAAGCTATGCATCTAATAAAGCACAGAGCCAGTGCTCTATAAAGATTAATGAGTTGTAAACATAAGATATCTATTCAAAAGAGGCCACTGAAATGGTTGGGGCCAGGTTAGGTCAAAACTTAATGCATTAATGTAAACACTATTAGTATGTTTACATACCTGTTGCCATACCACACAGATGCTTTCCAATTCCTACCACAGGTAGTTTTCCTTCTCTTAGCACTGGAATCTTGTCTGAAATGGAAATGAGAATTAAGTTAACTGTCTAGTGAAAGAAAGTACATATTATTGTGGCCTTCCAAAAGAAATAACTAATTAGAGTCTCTGAATTTTAGCCTGAAAGAGACTCAAAGAAAAAATTCTCACTTTATGGAACACAACATAGAACATAAGAACTTGTTTAGGGTTCATAGTATCAGAAAGTTAATATATTCAGTTAAATAATTTTAAATACAGTGATTTCTATACAAATGCTGGGTTGCTTTTCATGGCTGGATTAAAATTAGTGAATGGAAGAGGTTGTGAAGATATGTTTGCATTATTTTCTTTGGATAATCTGAAAAATAGAAAAGGTATAAAAAGGGCACTACAGAAGTTTATTGAGGAGTGTTTGTGTGTGTATGTGTCTGTGTGTGTTTTGTGTATGGAATGTGAATTCCACAGTGATGACTTCTTTTCTCTTGTGCAATTTAAAATTTTAGGAAGTATCTTTTACACATTAGCTAGGCAGAGAAATACCTCATTTTCTTTAATGGTTTAGGTAAAGTCATGTTAACTGCAGGCAGAAGGCTAGTTTATAGTTTGAACGGACTCAAAAAAATTTAAACAGGACAAAGAAACAACATAAGTACATATTATAAAAACTTTTAAACTCTTCCCTAACACTTCATTTCCACTTGATACTGAAAATTTTAAAAATTCTCAACCTTAATTCAATTTACATCTATTTACACACTATATAAAACATTCTATATTAACAATGGATTGATTTGACTGTTTTCTCTGAAGCACCGTTCTGCATGATTGGATTTCTAAGCAACCTCAGAGTTTGAAACAGTTATGATTTATTTGTAGAGCAATGGAAAGTTACACAACTTACTCAAACACAAGTGTTGAATATCAATTTGAAGTCTTTCAAACACTGAATTTTTCTTTCTGTGTTTTCCATCCACCTGCACAAACAGAACATTATTGTAATAATGACTTCTTATGTTTAAAAAGGATTTATGAAAGTAAAAAGATTTTTGTTTTCAAAATTCAGAGCAAAAGAATATATTTAAAAATGAAGACTGTACATTCTTTGATGAGAACTTCAAAATATTACACTTTTAAAAAAAGATTTGAAAATGTTTATCAATTATGTAAACATAGACATCATTTCCTTTAACCCTAAAAATTCCCAATTCACTGACAAAGGAACTGAAGTTCACAGATCTTAAGTCATTTATGTAAGATTGTCTACTAGCTCTTTTATCTTTGTCACTCTTCATATACTATTTTTGGTTTGTTCCTCCTCTTGCTCTCCTGAAAGATCACAACCATTCTAACCTATACCTATGTGCCCATGACCTAC